GGCAGTAGTGGGAGGCCACCCGAGGCCTCGCGCGGCGCCGCCCGTCGAGGGGCGGGCGGCGGCGGACCGCCCAGGCCGTCGAAGGGCTCGGGAGGCCCGTGGGCCAAGTTAGGCCGCGCGGCGCAGCCATGCCTGGCTTTACGTGCTGCGTGCCGGGCTGCTACAACAACTCGCACCGGGACAAGGCGCTGCACTTCTACACGTTCCCCAAGGACGCTGAGCTGCGGCGGCTGTGGCTCAAGAACGTGTCCCGCGCCGGCGTCAGTGGGTGCTTCTCCACCTTCCAACCCACCACGGGCCACCGTCTCTGCAGCGTCCACTTCCAGGGCGGCCGCAAGACCTACACGGTGCGTGTCCCCACCATCTTCCCGTTGCGTGGCGTCAATGAGCGCAAAGTAGCGCGCAGACCTGCGGGAGCCGCAGCCGCCCGCCGCAGGCAGCAACAGCAACAGCAGCAGCAGCAGCCGCAGCCGCAGCCGCCGCCGCCGCCGCCATCGCCATCGCCGTCGGCCTCCACTGCCCAGACTGCCCAGCTGCAGCCGAATCTGGTGTCTGCCTCGGCGGCCGTGCTCCTCACCCTTCAGGCCGCTGTGGACAGTAGCCAGGCTCCAGGATCCGTACCCCCGGCACCCACCACTCCCACCGGAGAAGACGTGAAGCCCATCGACCTGACGGTGCAAGTGGAGTTTGCAGCTGCAGAGGGCGCCGCAGCCGCCGCGTCGGAGCTGGAGGCTGCTACCGCAGGGCTGGAGGCCGCCGAATGCCCTATGGGTCCCCAGTTGGTGGTAGTGGGGGAAGAGGGCTTCCCTGATAGTGGCTCCGACCACTCGTACTCGTTGTCGTCAGGCACCACGGAAGAGGAGCTCTTGCGCAAGCTGAATGAGCAACGGGACATCCTGGCGCTGATGGAGGTGAAGATGAAGGAGATGAAGGGCAGCATCCGCCACCTGCGTCTCACCGAGGCCAAGCTGCGTGAAGAGCTCCGGGAGAAGGATCGGCTGCTGGCCATGGCTGTCATCCGCAAGAAGCATGGAATGTGAACGGGTTCCCCTGTGGCCTGTGGGACTCCTGGACCTTTGTCAGCCCAGGGGGACTTAAGGCTGCTGATGAACTCCCCCAGACTCTTAGGGTACTGGTTGACAATAATGGGGCTTAAGGCAGCTGGACTCTTTTGCTGGTGACCTGGTACCTTTACTTGTTTCCTCCTGAAGCAGGTGTCTGGGGTCTCAGACTCTGTACTGGTGACACCAGCAATTATGACTTGGTCCTCCCCCCAGTTTACATTGTGGATTCTGGTTAAGCAGAGGCTTCAGAACCGCTGAACTTGAAACTTACCCCCTAGGGATGCAGATGGAAATCCCAGGGACTGTGGGCTTGGGAAGACAATACCTTGAGGTTGGCCAGCAATCAGAGACAACTCTTCTGTGTGTGGCGATAAGAGATCCAAGTAACATCAGTTCTCTTCCTCCTTTTCTTGCTTTTCCTTCCCAGATGCAGCAGCCTGTGATTTGGATGGGGACTGGCACATCTGTGCCTCTCTGACTCCTAGTACTTCCCTCCTCAAGAGGTGGTCTGTGAGGGGATCTGGATGACCTGCTTGCCAGATCAGGGAGAGCCAGCTTGCCAGGGACTTAGGTTTATCCTGTTATGTTTGCTACTGGTTACAAATTCTATTTTCTGTACAATTAGTCAGACTAAAGTTTTCACTGTGTTTGTTTGGTAAAACGAATTAAACAGAAAGTAAGGTTTTTATTTGAGTTTGTGGTTTTACTTTTAGGAAGACTAAGTGTCTCTGAACTATAGGGAAATAGGTCTCAGCCTTAGGTGTGAGGACCAGGCTGACCCTGAGAGTGGAGATGCTTCAGTGATCAGGCCCTAAGCATATAGACCCTGGCCCTCATAAGATTGGAGCCCTGGTGGTGCAGTGGTTAAGAGCTTGGCTGGTAACCAAAAGGTCAGCAGTTGGAATCAACCAGTCGCTCCTTGGAAACCCTATGGGGCAGTTCTACTCTGTCCTGTAGGGTTACTATGAGTTGGCATCGACTTGGTGGCAGTGAGTTTGGTTTTTTTTTTTTTTTTTTTTTTTTGGTTTTTCATAAGGTCTTCAGAGTTCCTGGTCAAGCTCATTCTAATGAGCCTGGAAACTGTACTAAATGGTCCAAGTTTGTTCATGGGTTGTCTGTGTCTTTTCAACAATGGGGAAGGAACTAAGTGGAATTGTGACAGCCCACTTTTCTAAGAGTTTTGAATTCACTCCTGAATTCTCAGCTGGGGTTGGATTTTGCTCACCATTACATCCTCTTAGGCCTAGCACTATGTTTATCACTTATGGACATGCAGTTACTTAATTCAGTGAAGACCACAGCTAGAGCCAGCCATGCTCTTAGAGGTACAAGGAGTCTTATACAGATACTTTTTGGCCTTGGTGCACCTTCAGTGTGGAGAAGCTGGATCCAGAGGGCATTAAGGTGCTGGGATTTGTGTCCCTTTGCCTCATTTTCTTGGCTGTTGCCTTCTTTCTTCAGGCTGGATATTGGTGGAGACAGGGTGACTTCTATCTACAGCTCCAATAATTTAGCTCAAAGCCAATGGGGAGAGGCAAATGCCTTTAAGGCTAGTCCTGTTTACTATGGGTGTTGGGGCACAAATGGACACTTTTTTGGGCTTTGTGAAACATGACTCTCTTCTCTGGTACTTAGGGACAAAGCTGCCTGCTTGGGGACTTGCTTTGTGGCTACAAGCCTGAGCTCAAAACACTTCTCTCACTTCTGTCCCCCTCCTGGCCTCTTGGCACTGAGTTGGGAAACAAGTCTCTGATGGGAATGGGGGTGGGGATAAGTTGGAGGGGGGCTGGTTGGAGGACTGGCTGGATCTCTGCCTAGGGTTAACCTTGGCTGCTCATGAGGTGGTGGTGGGAGGATGGCAATGTCCTTTCAGGCCAGCTGGGAAGCCTTTTGTGAGCAGTTAACTGGACCAATCTCCCACATGTCCCCACTCTCCGTCTCTAGGAGTGAGGGTTTGTGAATCCTTTAGCTCCTGTTTGTGGAAGGGACTTCTGCTATTTCTGCTTCAGCTCTCTTGAACCTCAGCAGCACTCCTAGGACAGGGTGAGGGCCTGGCTCTGGCCAGGAGCCTCCCTGATGTCTGGGTACACAACCTGTCCAGTATTTTAGTTTCCTGGGGGAGAAGAACAGTTCACAGAACAAGGAAGGTGCACCACAAGCAGGGTAATGCAGAGTTCTTCCTGGCTGGGTGATAAGAGAAGCCTCTAGTCAAGCAAAACTGGCACAGACCTGGGATTATTAAATAGAACCTGCGCCTGGTCTTACCAGCCATGGAGGTGGCGGTGAGAAGGTGCAAAACCCTTTTGGAAAAACAGAAGTACTGAGATATCTCTGGCCAGGTGGGAAGGCAAGGCGTGGAGCTGCTTGGAGAAACTTCGTTATTTACCTTACCTGCGGTCCCCTGGGTTAGCCCAGGCCTAGGGATAACGCTTCACTCCACACATTTGTATCTCCAAGGAACGGAGGAACTGGGCTTCCTTGAAAGGGCAACGGGTGGGAAGGGCATTATTTACAATTTGGTCACTTAAATCCTGGGGAACTTAAGGTGAGTCAGCTATCTATCTTTCCTCATTAATAAAAATTAAACTTAGCTACTCCGCCTGCTGCAAAAAATCTTAAAAGAATGTTTTGGAGACGGCAGTGTACAAGTGTGGGAGCAGGGGCGGCTGCAGGCAACAGCTCAATCTTCTTTCTAGCCGACCCCCACCAGAGAAGCATTTAAGAGTCCGGCCCGGCTAGCCTCGCCTGCCCAAAACCAGATTTGGTTCCGACTGGCCGCAGGGCAGGGCGCGCGAATACTGGGACAGCAGAAGCTGTGGGTTCCGCCCCGGCCGGCTGAGGCGGCACGGCGAAAGGACGGCTTGAGCTCCAAAGGAGAGGGTTTCGCGAGCGGAAACAGGCCTGAGGCCCAGGGAGGGGCAGCTGGGTCAGCTTGGGGCCAGGCTGGGCTCCCATAGAGGCGGAGCCAACCTCCCTCGGCAGCGCAGCCTGGGCGGGGCCGAGCAGGCTGGGACTGGGCAATAACTGAGCCCTGCCCCGAGCCAGGTGCCAACGTCCGGTGTTCCAGAGGCTTCCGCTAGACCACAATTCTCAGGGGCTCGCCCCGGCAGCCTCCTTCCCTAGCTTAGCCTCACCTCCCGCGCTGCGGACTGTCTGTGGGCCTCGGCGCGTAGCACACTGGGAACTGTAGTCTTCACCTGGCGCACCTACGCCAGAAAGCAGCACAGTGGGACTGCGTTTCCCAGAGTGCAGCGGGGTGGACGAGGGAAGGCAGGGGGGAAGGGACAGTCGGTCCCAGACCGCGCTGGGTTGCCGCCGCCGCTGCCGCCATCGTGCCAGCCCTTTGGGTGAGTGTCGGGGCCAAAGCGCCGGGGCGGGGGCTGGGCCGCAAGAGCCGCGCTCCGGGCCGTCCGGAGCCTCCGTTGCGAGTCCCCGGGCGGCCCCTCCCCTCCCGACCCCGGCGGCCCGAAACCGCGCGGGGCCGGGGCCATGTGTCGCGTGCAGCTCCGCCTCCCGCCGGTCCTCTGAGGCGGCGGCCGGGAGGAACGCGGGGAGAACCCGCCAGGCGCCAATCCGGACAGTCCCGTGCCTGCTGCGCGGCTGCACCGGTCTGCACCCTGGCCAGGCCTTTTTCTTTGGTCCGGAACACCCGGATGGGGTTCTCCGGGCCCCGCCCTGTTTAGCCTGGCCCAGCCTACCCAATTCCCCCAAGCTCTGCAGGCAGGTTAGCGGGCCGACCCCGGCCCTGCTTCTTGCCACCCTCTTGCTTAGGATCCGGGGATGGACAGCACTACCCGGCTCGCTCCGGAGTCAGCATGGGTAAGGGCGTCAGCCTGTCGCTGCCCGGGCTTGGGACCGTTCCTCTGCCTGTCTGCCCTCGGGGAGTGCACGAAACCCACTGGCCCCTCCTTGGAACCCACGCCGTAGGTCCTCTTGCGTGGCGGGCAGAGTCAGGAAATCTGGGACCGAAGAAGATCCCACGTGAGACTTTACCACTGGCCAGCCTTGGAAGATCTGGGCCTGATGCTGTGAGGGGTGCAGCGGCGCCGGGCCAATAGGCCCAGCCCAGCCCCGGCCCTTTTTCATCAGTGACTGGGCCCCAGCTGTGGGTGGGTTGGCCGGCTGTATTAGTGGAAGAAGAGAGGAAGGAGGCATTGTTAGTGGAAGAAGGGAGGAAGGAAACCAAGATGAGATTGGATTTGTGAGCCTCCAAGGCCTATTAGATGCCCCAGACACATCTGCTTCTCCCCAAGTCAGCATGGAACTGCTCCACAGGGAAGGATAACTGTCCATAAGAATGGTAGTGATAAGGTGGAATTTAATGGAGGGCAAAGTAGAATCGAGGCCTGAGGTCTATGAGCCCAGTGTGAAGGAAGAAGGACGTTGCAGTTGGGGCACATTTGAGCTGTAGGGCTCTTCTGAAGCCTGGCATAACTAGGGCTGGAAGCTACAGAGTCAGGGGCCCCCTTGCTTGCTCAGTTCCCAACAGCTGGAGTTGCCTGTGAACCTTGGGAGATTGTTCTTAGTGATAGCTCCAAGGACCCCATTGAGTTTTGGGAGAAGGGGTATATTTGACCTGAGAGTACTCTCCTGGCAGGTTCTGTAAAGGCACTTCTGATTCATGATAAATTCAAGGACCAGTCCAGAGGAGAGAGTAGGACTTGGGAAAGAGGTAGCTTGTCAAGCTTTGATTCCTCTGACCCACTGCAGCTTCAAAGCCATAGTTCTTGCAGACCTGGCCTCAGCAGCACGCAGGATGCCAGGTCTCTTAGGAGGGCTGAGTTGGACCCATAAAGCAGAAACTTGCTGCCCCTGGCTTGCTTCTTTCTCTCTTTTTCTCTTGAGCATTTCCAAGTGATGTTTCTTCTGGTCATTGGGCTCTAGCCCTGGAAATTTTCCTGCAGTTGAATTGGTCTGCCTGTTCGTTCTCCCTGGTCAAGGAGAGCAGGCAAGGATGCTGCCCAGAACTCTCACTAGGGCCTGCCTTTCCCTGAACTCAGTTTTCCTATTTCATATTCTGGCCCATGTGGAAATGGAAATCAGGTTTATCCAGCAGGCTTGTGAGAGCCCTGGTTTGCCAGTGTGGATGGGCAACAGGGCACACATAGGGTCAGTGAGATGAAGACTCCTAGTGCTAGAAGTGGTTGTTTCAAGATCGTCTTTAGATTGTCTAGTTTTTTCTAGGACGCAGGTTTCAGGTGAGCTAGATTTATGGCTGTGGATGAGTTTGCACATTACAAGGCCCTGAGTGACTTGAAGAAATAATATCTTTTCTTCAGGGTCAAAAAGATATCATACCTTCTCTGAGGTTACCCAGGAATAGGAGGAATTCAGGTCCCTCCCTCTCATTCCAAGGCTCTAGAAGTTCCCTGTAACTTCTGTATCTGGGGTCAGCTTGCCATTGCTAGGCATTCTGACTCCCAGAAGTTCTTGACCTTTCTGGAACTTGGCAAACTGTCTGGATCTCAGAGATAAGAGGAGAACCTTGAGGTGCTCTACGATCTGTCTATGCCCTGTATTCATGCAGGGCTGATTTGGAAAGTGGGGCCTGGTATGGGGCAGTAGGGATGTGGCTGTACAAGTATGAGAACAAGGTGTCAGGATGCCTGGATTCTCAACTGGCTCAAAACAAGGTCTCTTAGTGACTTTGAGCCCACATCTCTTCTCAAAAGTGTGTCTGCTGTTTTTGCAGTTGGTGTATTGGGTCGGGATGAATAATTTAAGAGAGACCCAGCATTCTCAAATTTTGGAACTGGAAAGCACCTTATATAAAAAATTGTAAGATTCCATTAGTGTGGCACTGAAACTCCGTTTTCCTTGTTTTTACCAATGATCTGTTTTATTCAGCAATCATTCTTTGGGCTGTCTCTGTGTGTTGGGCTCTAGAATGAGGTTGGAGGTATGAAAATGAATTTTGCCCTGTCCTGGTGCTAGGGAAAGGAGGTCACAGTATAGTGGGGGAGACAGGGGTGTTGTTGGTAGTAGGTGCTGAGGACTAAGTTGAAGGAACCTCCAGGAGCTCTTAGCCCTGCTGAGAAGGGGAGACCTTTTTTTTGTGTGTGTGCTTTAGGTGAAAGTTTACAGCTCAAGTTAGTTTCTCATACAAAAATTTATATGCACATTGTTTTGTGACCCTAGTTGCTCTCCCTTTAATGTGAGAGCACGCTCCTCCTTTCCACCCCAAATTTCCTGTGTCCATTCAACCAGCTCTTATCCCTTTCTGCCTTCTCATCTCACCTCCGGACAGGAGCTGCCCATTTAGTCTCGTATGTCTACTTGAACTAAGAAGCGCACTCTTCACGAGTATCATTTTATGTCTTATACTCCAGGATGTCTGGTCTTTTTATGTGAATTTGAGTTCTGTGTTACACGTTTCTCCTGCTCGGTCAGGGACTCTGGCGTTTCCCGTCAGGGCTGTCATTGCTGGTAGCCAGGCACCATCTAGTTCTTCTGGTCTCAGGCTGATGGAGTCTTTGGTTTATGTGGCCCTTTCTGTCTCTTGGGCTAATATTTTCCTGTGTCTTTGGTGTTCTTCATTTTCCTTTGCTCCAGGTGAGTTGGGACCAATTGATGCATCTTAGATGGCCGCTCACTAGCTTTTAAGACCCCAGACACCACTCACTAAAGTAGGATGCAGAACATTTTCTTATTAAACTTTGTTATGCCAGTTGATCTAGTTGTCCCCTGAAGGCATGGTCCCCAACCCCCCACCCTGCTACTCTGTCCCTTGAAGTGTTTGGTTGTGTTCAGGAAGCTTCTTAGCTTTTGGTTTAGTCCAGTTGCGCTGACTTCAAGGGGAGACTTTCAAATGATTGGAGTACCAAAGAGGAAAGGCTGTTAGTGGGCCCACTTTCCTCTACAGTGCCTCAGAGTGGTGTACTTCCAGTGTGGGCCCAGGAGGGTATGGGGTCCCTTGAGCAAGACTGTCACCGCTCCAGATTGCTGTGACTGTTGTGGCTAGCTGCTGGCTTCCCCACGGGTCTTTGCTGGATGTGTTCACAGTGCTGGGAATCTCACCAGCAGTTCTTTGTGGCCTTCCAGTGCCCTGACTGGAGCCTGGGTTTGTGACTTTGTTCCTTTTGCCGAGATTCTTTCATAGTCACATTTATTCAAATGCTGAGTAGTTGCTCCAGGAGTGGTACCCATCAGGGTGTCTTCCCAGGGTGAGAGACAGAGGAACCCTCCCCAGAAATACAAATCCAACAGACCTGGCCATGGGAGCTCCTTGGATGTCCCTTCAACAGATGGCCCTGACCTGGGGGGTTAGGTAGGGACAGGAGCCAGAGTCTGGGATGAAGACCCTAAATAGGTGGGGCCTGAATGGTGACTTGGAGACAGAGCTGGAACTGACCGGGCAGATGAGAGAAAGGAGGGCATTCCAGCAGGGGAACTCACCCGTGCAAAAACCTGGTGGGCGAGTGCCCAGTGGGGTCTGGTGTTTGTGTGTGGATCTGGATTGAGGTAGGAGACAATGGCTGGGGAGGCGGGGACAGGTGTGGATGGCCACCTGCGGTGCTCAGGGGTTTGGCCTTTAACCCAAAGGCCAGGGGAGGGCCATGGCCAGCTTTGTGTTTTAGTGCTCAGGGATGCCCAAAGTTAGTAGAAGGAAAGCACTGGCAGGACCCAGCTGTCAGCACTGATGTGTTGGACCGGCTTGGGGCAAGACTTCTGCTTCGCTGCACCTCAGTGTTCTCACCTGTGAAGTGGGATGACAGTGGAATCTGACCACCTGGCTGTCAGGCTCACTACATGGAAATAAACACATGAAGGTCAAGCAGGCCTCTGAGAGGTTGGTGTTGGCCACAGGGGGCCCCTAGACCCCTCTTGGGCAGAGCCTGCTTTTGGCATCTATAAAGCAAAGGCCTCAGTCCAATAGTTTCAAAGTTTCCTTTTTATTTATTTATTTGTTTTTATTGTTGTGCTTTAAGTGAAAGTTTACAGTTCAAGTTAGTCTCTCATACAAAAATTTATACATACATTGTTATGTGACCCTAGTTGCTCTCCTATACTGTGACAGCACACTCCTTTCCCCCCTGGATTTCCTGTGTCCATTCAACCAGCTCCTGACCCTCTCAGCCTTTTCCTCTCGCCTCTGGACAGGAGCTGCCCATTTAGTCTCACGTATCTACTTGAGCTAGGAAGCACAGTCTTCACGAGTATCATTTTATGTCCCATAGTCCAGTCTAATCTTTGTCTGAAGAGTTGGCCATGGGAATGGTTTTAATTTTGGGCTAACAGAGAGTCCAGGGGCCGTCTTCCGGGGTCCCTCCAGTCTCAATCAAACCATTAAGTCTGGTCTTCTTACTAGAATTTGAGTTCTGCACCCCACTTTTCTCCTGCTCCATCAGGGACTATCTGTTGTGTTCCCTGTCAGGGCGGTCATTGGTGGTAGCCTCAAAGGTTCCTTCTTAAACTTGCTGGGAGCCCCTGAGCTGGCCTGTCCTTCAGGAGAGCTCACTCCATGCGACTGTGCTCTGCCCACCCCACCAGACCAAAGGACCCTCTGTTCCTTTATCCCTCCATCCGTCTTCCCTGCCAAATAATTTTTCTTTTTATATTATAAAGTTATCACACTGTTAAGAGCAATATTGAAAAAGGAAAAAACATTCGCACACTTCCTCTGCCCCACCATCCCACCACATGGTGGCACTTCTCTTATCTGCAGATCAGCTTCCACCCTTAGTTTCCACCCTCCATCTCCAGTATCCAGGTTTCCTGCTCTCATCTCTTTTTCTTGTGCCTCCAGACATTTGCTGATGCTATTTCTTCTGATTGACAAACTCTTTCTCCAAGACCTCCATCAAGGGCTGCCCAGCCTTGCTCTGGGTGAAGGCCAGAGGGGGAGATGGCCCTCATCCATTCCTCCAGCCCACCCCAGCCCCCTGCCCTGAGCTCTCAGAGCTGCCAAGGCATCTTTTGGGGGAGGTGGGGTAAACGCAGCAGGGGCAAGCCTCAGTGAGTGAACTAAGCTTAGTAGATCCTAGGGTAGAAAAGGCAGAGATGCTGGGGGCAGGCAGAACTATTCTTCTGCCTTACAAAACCCAAGTTTGCATGTGACCAAGACAGTGTAGCTGAGACTAGATGTTGGTCCTGTGCTTTTCCCATTTGTTGGTTTGCTTCTTGGCTGAGTGTGAACTGGGACACAGTTTGTGTTCCTGTGTAGCAGGCATGGCTGGGTCCTAGCTTTCTCCTCTTCTGCTTGTTTTAGACTTCCTTGGACATTTCTTAGTCATCCCAGCACAGAGCTTCTATTTTTAGCACCACTACCTCCTAAGGGACCTAAAATAAAGCTGGCTCATTTTCCTGGCCCCTTACTGGCTGGAGTGTTGGCCACAGGTTTGGGGATTGGTTGGGCTGGAGATAAGCCACTGTCACACTGTCCCTCCCCTCTGGCTCCTCTGGCCTTGGGTGAGGTCACAGGGACAGGGGCGGAAACTAGCACTTAGCATGTTGAGCTGAGGGCTTTACCAGTTTCCCTTAGGGAAGCTTTACAACCACTGGCAGCATCGGGGTTACCATCCCCATCTTACAGAGGAGGAAACTTATGGTCCTGCTTGAGAAGAGGAATGACTTGCATCAGGTCCCAGCACTGCAGATTGTTGTCGGCCAGAGTCCAGTCCTCCTCCTCACTGCTTTGGTTCAGAGTCCTGTTATCAGGGCACAGAGGATGGCTCCCCCACAGCCGGAGACAACTACAGAACGACACGTGCGGCGGCTGACATGGCATCCTGAGTGAGATGTGGCATCCCTACCTAGCAAAGCCAGAGTAGCTCTCTCATCTGGGACTTGGATTTCCCATCCAGCACTCTGGGGCCATGGTCTCTATAGTTGGGAAGGAGGGCTCCTCTCAGCGACCCAAAAGGGCCAGCCTCTTGGGATACAGGCAATGTTGAGAAGGGGAGATGTGAAGAGATGACATGCTTCCCTCCCCTACATCCTCCATTTCCCCACCCACACCCCTTAACTATTATTCTGTGAGCCTCAACTCATGTCCCTAGCTCTGAAGTGATGGGGATTTGTGGGGTGGGGGGCTTACTCTCATCAATGAAGACATGCCCCAGAAGGGGCCAGGCTGGATATTGTCCAGCCTCAGAAACATAAACATAAACTGCCCCCATGAGACTTAGGGGTCACTTGCAGTTCTCTTTGGAAGTGGCTCTTGGGGAGGGTTGTCTTCCACCTGCCAGCACAGCCCTGGGGCAGTGTTGGGGGCCTTAGTGCTGAGTACTGACAGCATGAAGAGGGGCCTCAGGGCTGCAATAGAAACACTGCATACTCAGAAATCCAGTAGATGCTGGTCTGCAAAGTGGGAGGAATAGCAATAACTCTGGCTTTGCAGGTTGTTGAGAGGGATTAAATGAAAAGATAACAGAGAGAATGCTTAGCTCTTCCTTAAAGGCCCCTCTCGTTAGTGGGCATGGAAGAGCCTGCTCTGACATTCCTTGGCCCTGGCTCAACCATCAGCACCTGCCCTGTATCTTGTATGCTCCACCACCCTGGCACCCTTCTGTCTAGGAAGGTCTGAGTCTGGTCCACCTCCATGCTGTCAGCCAGGGACTCCTTAAAGGAAGGGCTGAGTCTGGTCTGCCTCCGTGCTCCCAGCAGTGGTTTGGCTTTGGAGGGGTCATCTACCAGTTCCTTAGGGCCTCTCAGTATTCTCCGGGAGAGCAGACCTCAGCAAAGTACTCCCTGCTCAAGTAGGCCAGGGAGGGTTGGGGGTCAGTGAAGAACCAGTGGCCAGCTGCCTCCTGCTCCTGTAGTACCAACTCTTCCCTCCTTGTCTCTTGCTGGTTCTGCAGGTTTCAGCGAGGCTGGGCGACACTCCAGAATGGGAGACAAGCCAATTTGGGAACAGATTGGATCCAGCTTCATTCAACATTACTACCAGTTATTTGATAACGACAGAACCCAGCTAGGCGCAATTTATGTAAGTCTCTAGCTCTAGGGCCAGAGTGGGGCCGCAGGGAATCATTTTGGGTGTTGGGCCAGTATATCCAGTTCACGCAGAAGTTCTGGCAGACCTGATTGGACTTCACTGGACCTTCTATCTGAGCTTCTCTCTGTGGGATAAAGGGGCCTGAGGTCTGGACCAGCCTGGTTTAAACATTGTCCACTTTATCATCTTCCATAAGAGTAAGGCTCCTGGTACCTTGGTCAGGGTGTATTTTGGCCTTGCCTTTCCGTGTGGCTAGATCCCTGGCAGGGCACATGTTCTTGGACATACCTCTGTTTCAGTTGGGACAGCAGTGGGCAGAGGCCAGGGATCATGGTGCCCTCTGGTGGCAGCAGCCTTGAGTATCCTAGTACAAAGCTGAACTCTCCTGGAGGCCCTGGGTCCAGCTTCCTTTTTGGGGGTTGAAAGCCCTTGAATACTGTGGGAGACAAACGAGTTTAACTCAGGGAGACTGGTGTGTCGCCTGAGAAACCTTTCTATGCAGGCATTATTTGCTGCTCTTTAATAGTGTCCATCTACACCAAGAGCTGCTTGTTGTTGACCCTGCCCAAGAAATGTGATTGATCAGCATGTCTGCCCAGGGTAGGGGTAATAGGAGTTACCCAAGTATACCCTCAGAGCCTGGCTGGACTGTGGGCAGATTCCTGTGTCTGCCTCAAGAAAGTCAGGGTCCATCAAGAACTTTTGGGAAAAAGAAAAACCAGTAGAGGCCAAATCCAGCACAAGTATGATTTGATCCTCATTATCCTAGGTAGACAATAAAAAAAAAAAAAAACTCGATCTCTGGGATCCTGGCATTTCTTCCTCATTACTTCTTTTTTTTTTTTTTAATTTATTTTGTTGTTGTTCAGAATATCCACAGCAAAACGTACACCAATTCAACAGTTTCTACATGTACAGTTCAGTGACATTAATTACATTCTTCGAGTTGTGTAACCGTTCTCACCCTCTTCTGAGTTGTTCCTCTCCATTAACACAAACTCATTGCCCCCTAACATTCCTGTCTAATCTTTTGAGTTGCTGTTGTCAATTTGATTTCATATAGTTAGTTCTTAAAAGAGCATAATGCTCAATGCCTCATTACTTCTTATGAAAGCAGGCCTGACCCAGAGAAGATTTAGCAAGGTCCTAAAAGAGCACTTTATATACATCGTTTCATAAAATCCTCTGCACATTTCCCTTTGAATATTATAAAACTGAGATTCAGAAAAATAAGTGACTTGCTTAATGTCCCAGCTGGTAAGTAGCAGAAGCACTGTTTAGTTCTGCACAGAAGGCTGTGGAAGAGAGGACTTGGAGGGGAGGAGGCTGGGCTAGTGGGGTGCATGTGCCTGTCAGGGATAGGGAAGGCCCCAGGCTGGGCCTTGGGAGGTCTTGTCGGCCTCCCTCCCTACCTGAACCAGAAGGCTAGATAAAAGGGCCTCAGTGGAACTCAGCCTGGGCCCTCTCTGGAGGTGCTGATTAAAAAGGGGTACTTAAGAGTTATTTCTGATGGCTTGTCTGGGACCAGTGCTGACTGACTATGCAGCGGGATGACGTTTGGCTGAGCCATGGCTACATATGGCCAACCTGGGGCCCATGCAAATCAGATGAAATATGAACCCTTGAATAAAAACTGGGAATTGAACTAGAAGCCCTAATACATGGCATAAACAGAATACAAACCATAAGTAACAATGCATAAACACCAGAAGAGAAACCAGATAACTGGGAGCTCCTAAAAATCAAACACTTAATGCTCATCAAAAGACTTCACCAAAAGAGTAAAAAGACGGCCTACAGACTGGGAAAAATTTTTTGGCTATGACAAATCTGATCAGCATCTAATCTCTAAAATCTAAAGATACTGCAAAACCTCAACAACAAAAAGACAAATAACCCAATTAAAAAATGAGGAAAGGATATGCAACAGGCACTTCGCCAAAGAAGACATTCAGTCGGCTAGCAGACACATGAGGAAATGCTCACGACCATTAGCCATTAGAGAAATGCAAATCAAAACTACAATGAGATACCATCTCACCCCAACAAGTCTAGCATTAATCCAAAAAACACAAAATAATAAATGTTGGAAAGGTTGTGCAAAGACTGGAATACTTACACAGTGTTGGTGGGAATGTAAATGGTACAAGCACTTTGGAAATAGATTTGACGCTTCCTTAAAAAGCTAGAAATAGAAGTACCATACGATCCAGCAATCCTGCTCCTTGGAATATATCCTAGAGAAATAAGAGCC